GTTTCGTTGAGGTGTCCGCTGACCAACAACAACAACAACAACAACAACTTTATTTTTTTCACCCCAAAATATACAAGAAAGAAAAATTTATAATAGTACAGACAATGATAGGGGCGCTGGCTGCCTGAAATAACCTAAGAGTTAAAAATGCCAGGCAGCCAGTTAAAACTACCAGTATATTAAAGAGACTAAAATTCATACATTGCAAAACAGTATTATTTCCATTTTAAAGTTACATAGACAACACAGATGTCTAGTAATCTTTGATTAATTGCTGCTTCACTTTCTTTTTAAACAAAGACAATTCACTGAATCAATATCAATAGGACAAAAATTCCAATAAATCATTGAATCTATTGTATTTTTTTCTGATTACTAAAAGATCAACTATGCTAAAAAACCAAAAACAAGTTTTCATCTCATCTATTCTATTGTTATGTGTTTTTTGGTAGAATACTCTTTTCTCAGAGTGCCTCTACCAAGCAGTAGTATACATGACACCGCAGAAATACGTTTTCATGACGTCACATTAACTGGTCAGTGGTCATCAACTTTAGGCTGCCAAGTGCTTCCATATGTTTGTAAACTGAGTTCGATGAAGACATCGGCCTTTTGTGTGGTTTTAAGTTGGAAAATATGCATGATACTTCTCCTTGTTTGTTATATTTGATCCTTTGAATGGGTTTTTAATACTAAAACCACGTCTTAACAAATAGAGTCGTTTTGTTTGGAGTTGTGTGTTGTTTGCTGACTTAGGCTGGCCGTCCAGTTACGAAGTGCGATCTTGTTTCTTCAGTCGCCCTCGCCTTCAGAATTGTCAAAAACAGCAATAGTTATCCAGAAAAAGCTGGAGATTAGTTCTGTAAGATACTTTTCCAGTGAGTCTGAAGACTGGTTGGATTTTTAAGTGTTATAAGTATGAAGCAATACAGGTAATTATTGTGTTGTGAAAATATTCATACACTCACTTTTCGCTGACGTGTTTTGCCTTTTCATTTTGGTAATCATTTGCTTGGATGAGAATTTACCTTTTTAGACTGATTTTTCGCCATTCCACCCCTCTGATTTTCTGTGCCTTTAAGAACGGGTGTCCGTAATCAAAATATGAAAACATTTGTTCATTTCATATACTTGCAGTTTTACTAACAAGTTATCTCGTGAACAGGCACACCAAACCTACTACAGACATGTAATAGAGATCTACTATCAACTGCTGTCAATAAAGGCTTAATGCAAGATAAATTATAAATGAACCAATCATGTTGGACCGTCTCAAATATTGCATATTTTCAGCGCCCTCAATCAATCGCTTATATAATAATCTTTGTCAAGCCTTAACGCAGCAAACAATTCACAATTTCTTCGATTTCCACTTCCTTTGTAAACATCACTAAACAAGCGTTATTCTGTTGCAACAAAAGCTACTTCAATTTCCCAAACAGCTCTAATTGTTTACACGAAAGCATTTTCAATGAAACCCACTTTATTATTATTATTGTTATATTTTTATAACTCAGTCATTTGAAACTTTTACAGGCACATGTATGTTTACCTGAAGTATATTCCACTATCTTGCATGTGCATTGCATTAATTTATGCAAACAATCAACTACTCTTCTTCCATTGTAAAAAA